CATCAATGGCTGCTTATTTCACTTGTTTCCAAATTCCTACATATGTCCGCAAGAGGCTTAATCCAATGGTAAGGTCTCCTCCTAAGTTTCTGCAAAGTAATTTTTCTTTATGTTTCTTGGAGGAACTCTTTCATATGCTATTACTGTTCTCTGAAAGTTGTTTTCTTTTTCTTTTTCACTTCATCTGGCTTCACCCTCAACATATGATGGCTTGAAGTATAAATGTTTCACTTATCCCTTGGTCTCACAGATCTGTAAGGCCTCCCCACTACACAATCTCATATCATCCTCTGCTTTATGTCTCTGTGGCATAGGACGCCTTCACTAGGTGTGAGATGTTCTGCATAATCTTTCTCTGTGTACAGGAAGCTTCTGTAAGTACTTGTCTAGTTTACTTCTTTATTCTTGATGCTTAAAATACTGCTTACTATAAGATTTCATGGAACAAGGATTTCATGGAATCCTTGTTGAATGATTGGAAAAATGGCCTCTACTAAATTTTATAAATAGCATCCACATTCGCAAACCAGGGCAATACTCACGTTAAACCATCTTCCATGAACATGTACCTCCATCAGTCACTTTGGCCTCAAACAGTCAGGGCCATTATATAAATATTGCAACAGCAGTGACCATCTTGACTAGAGCCATAAATCAAGCACACCCAGAATGTGCTTTTCACAGAATCTTAAATATCTATTTTTCTCATTCTGAGGTTTTTCAGAATTCGACGTGGCTAGAGTTAATTTGTAAAACATCTGTTTTCAAAAATATTTCACCAAGGAACCATTCAATATTGTCTAACTATTTATCACTAATAAAGGACAGAGAAAACAATTGTTTTTTTTAAATAATAGGCTATTACATGTACACAGTAAGGAACTGAGTGCATGCAAACATACATTTTGAGAAATATTACAGTATCTGCAAAAAATACCTACTTGACAAAGTAACCTATCTTTTCCCTTCCACTAACACCCACCATCATTCCAATGTAAAAATCAATTTCTAAATGAAATAGAATCATGATAAAGCTGGCAGAATAAGAAATTTGAAAAAAGATTACCATCTGGAAAATGAGTATTAATAACTAAAGAACTTCAGGTTCTAACATAAATGAGAGATATTTAAAAGATCTTGACAATATTTCTCTTTCTCAAAATTAACTATATTTTGTAATGTTGAAAAAAGCTTTTGGAGGCTTCAAATACATTACATGAATTTGCTGAAAGTAATTTAGTAATATTAAAATTTGACAAAGAATATGCTCTTCTTAGGGAAAGAATGGTGAAATCGTGTCATGTTAATTGAACCCTGCCATGGTAGGCAAGTAAGAAGCAGATTTGCATGGAGTACAATAAAAAATATACTCTGTCTCTAGAAATGGGATTTTTAAAAGATGATAGGAGAAAAGCTGCACTGGGAAGCACTAGCTTTGTTTGATATATGCAATGGATAATGATTGCTATAATGTTCACTCTGTCTTTGTAATTAGAAATTATGGAGCAAAGAACATTTTGCTCACCTCTCTCGTCTTACACCTTCCAGCACGACAAGAAAAGTAAACTATTCCATGACATTCTGTTCTGCCTGGATGAGTTAAGTGGGGAAATATCTATCCGCTCCCCACTGCATGGAACTAGAAAGCCTAAAGCAGGACAATGCCATTGCAGCTTTCAGATCTAATTTATCCCTTATCATCTCTGACTACATAGGAATTTTGAGAACAAGAGAATGCTAATCTAACTTCTCATTGATTGCCTGGACCATAAAACATAAAGTTACAGAGCAGCTTGGTTTAGGATAGATTGCACAAATCAGAAAATGGAAGGCAGAAGACACAAATAGGTCAGGAAAACAAAACAGCACAATGGAGAATTAAGATAGGGAGTAATGAGTGGGTCATGGGTTCCGATTCTACTTTTCTCTATTCTGTGGATATACTAGTGAAAGAAGTCAGGTAATTTTTTCCTGATTCTTTGGGTGTCTTTTGGAACAAGTGACACTCAACACAGTTGGAGTATCAAGAAAGGAGAAACAAATCATCTTAATTAGACTGTACATACTTTGTTAGGGACAGTGCCGTATTTAATTGCCCTCAGCACTGCTTTATGTTGGCACAAAAGTAGGTGCTCCGTAAACACCTCCTGAAGGATGGATACTTATTTCACAACTAGGGCTAGAAGTGATGCAAGTGGTTAGAGTGGCACATGGATTGCCTACGGTACACCAAACACAGCGGTGAAAGACTGCATTTAACTTCACCGTTTGCAAGGAATGTAATCTTAGATAAGTAATCTCTCACTGCCTCAACTTTCTCATTTTTGAAACAGAAATTGTATCTACCTCAGATAATCTTTGTGAAGATTACATGAGCTGAAAATTAGGATGGAAATTATGCAGAACAAGGTAAATATTCTATGAATATTAACAACTTTCATCTCTACTGGTAAAAATCCAGACAAGAGTACTTACCAACAACTTAAAGTTTTTTCATGACTAATCTATCATGTTCTTCAGAGCAAATACTATAATTCTGAACAAAAATAAAGACAGGGAAGAGTCTCTAAGGTCTTTATTCTAGGTGATGAACCAAGTGCCAGAGCCAGCAGGGGCTAACCCAGGATACTCCCTCATGACAGAGAGAGGCCCAGAATCCAGTCTACTTTCTTGTTACCTCCAAATATTATAATCAAACAAAACCATTAAAAATTGAGGTGTAACTAAAATAGAAGCCCATAAGCAAGACGATTAAGGGCTGTAGTGCAAGGGTATAATACTTGATGCTTTAGTTCTTGTTTAGCAACAGGTATTTAAGAGTTACTGCTCTCAGTAATTTTAAGTGTTTTGTGAAATGATGTATTATAGAACTTAAAAGCAGTAGGGATGGGTTGGTTTTAGTCTAGTGATATAACTTACATGAAGCTGATTAAAAGTATTTAGAATAATATGAAAAGATGAATCATTCACTGTAATACCAAGATGCCTATAGGTTTAATTTTTATTAAGAACAAAACAGACTAAACAACAAATTCTAAAATCAATTCTTTGCTATAATTCTAAGACAATCTTCAGTCATAGAATAATTTTCAATGTTGTTCAGACTAATTCTCATTAGAATACAGGCTGTTACATTTGTGGCCTGACAACATCCCTTAATATAGACAAGCATTCAGAGTTCATGTACTTCAGTGTGAATGCTTATCTCTAATACCCACAGTATGGGTGTAATAAATTTCCAGCATTTTCCCACATTGTCTAAAGCTTCAAGCTTTAAGAGATCTAAGGCATTCAAATAGTTAAGAATAGTGCTTTTATCCTCAATGCTATTTCCCTGTTTTATAGTGCACAAAAGTCACAAATAATATACTTAAATAGTTTTCTTTGAATATACTCTGTACCTCAGCAAATGTACATTGAAGTTTAGAAATAGTGTTAATCACCAACGATTAGCTGGGACTCAACCAGGACTCAAGGAAGTCAGATAATGAGGTTCCTTGAGTTAAAAGAAAACAATACAATCTATTTATAGTTCTAAAGTTTTGAAATAAGCCAACAAATAAATATTTAGATAGTAACTCATAGTAATTTCTTCAGAAGAAGATATGGTCCTGGAAAAGAATCTCACATGTCTTGTTATTTCTTCTACTATTTATTTCCAAAAAACCTTTCAGCTACACCAAAAACTAACTCTTAATGATTTGTGGTAACCTTCAGAAATAATACTTTTGTCAAGAAAATTTATTAAAGTGAGGAAAACTATAACTGAACTAAGCCATGCTATAACAAATCTCTACAGGAAAAGATAAAAGTTTTGTTTTATCTTAAACATTTTAGTAACAAGAGAATCCTTCACTTTAAAGACAAGAGAATTTTCAACCTATAGGACCAGTTTCTAATTGATATTTGCTTACACAAAGAAACAAGCCTTTTGTCTTACCACCAAGATCATAAAGAAAACAGTAACTCTATTGAATCAGAAATGGCAGATACTGTTTTAACTGGAAAAGAAAGACAATGAAAGGGCTTCTGTTAGCACAACCTCTCGATACCTTCACCACTCATTTAAAAAAAAAAAGTTTTAAATCTTATTTTCAAATACAATATTGATTGAGAGCTATGTCTGAAAAAATTCCCTTCAACTAATCTCAGTTCAATAGTTGATGATATCATATTTTCTAAGCATAATAAAAGGAGGAAAAATAACAAGTTGAAGATCAGTTTCACATGTGACTCAATATCTTTTGTATTTTAATCTAATAGTAGGACTGTAGCTGCATTTTTAGAAGAGTTCTCCTTGAAGCTCTTACCGATAATGCATGTTATCTTACCCTAGTATATTTATAAAAATATATATACATATTCAATTTTAAATGACTTTAAGGCTAAATAGTGCCTCAATTATAAAAATTAAATGCAAAATAATCTTTGCAAATCCTTAAAGAATGTAATTGGGGTCCCCCCAAAGTGATTATATTACATGAAAGATATGCCAATCTTAATTTAAAACTTTCATGTTTAATACTCAAGCTGAGTATTTCATTCTAGCTACCTTATTGATCACTTGATCTTAAATAATGTTTATAGAATAGGCTGCATCTAACACAAAGCTATGGTAAGGATCCTTACTGTATATATAAACAATAATTACAGTTGAAATTTTTGATGTTCGGAAATTCTATCAAGACAATAGACATGTGGTCTGCTTACCAAGACTACTGCAGCATAATTTTAAATTGTTAGTGAAAATCTTAAACAAATACAAATGGTCATCTAAATATTTTAATCTTTTGAAAGTGAAGCTTTATAATTATCCCCCAGTGATAATAAGTCATTGTTTCATTTAACTTAACCAAACTGCTCTACTTCTTTAAAAATAAAACGGGGCACATGTTCCATTCTGTAATTCTTGACTGGAAACTAAGTTGTCGCCTCTTACAAAAGCTTTTACAGTTACCAATGAGCCATTTAGATATAATGAAATAAACAGATACACTTACCTGTAATTAAAGTACAAACAGTTGAAAATGCTGAAGAAACTTTCAATAGATAGAAACTGAAAGCGCAGCATCTGCCACCATCAGCTCAGGCTTTTTGGCTTCACAAGTGACAGCGATACTAGTCCTGGCCCAGTACCCTTGTGTTATGTAACATCTTATTAATATTAGCCTTCAAACTGCTACCAAGCCGGTGAGGCACTAGAGGGCAAGAGTGTCACACGCAAGACCTGTCGCCAAGGGACCGGCTTTGGTACCACTTCGGGAGACAGATGCTAACTAAGCTGATAAATACCACGACGTCTGAACGCATCAGAGAACTTGCAATGTTTCTCAAAGACTATTTTAAATGTCAATTTTCCGACTAGCCCAAGAGTTAACAGGTTAATAAATATGCATAGGGAAATGACCACACTATGCAAAACTTTCAGGATTATATTTACAAACCCTCAGTCACTCAGGAGGCTTTTCCCCCAGTCACTCAGGAGGTTTTTTTTTTTTTTTTTTTCATTGTTTAAATAAACTTATTCAAAACCGAAGAGAAAAGGCTGAATAAATGTGTGGATTTCGGGTCATCTCAAGCCTGGAGAAACTTGCTCATAAAATCGCGATCGTGCTCGCGGCGCCGCCGCCAGACCCGCGTCTGCAATGCCCGGGGCAGGCTCCGGGCGAGGACCGGCCGGGTCGCTCGTCGCGATTACCTCGGGCTGCAGCCGCGGGCGCGCATCCTCCTCCCGGCCTCGCCTCCGCGGGTGCGAGCGCCCGGCCCCGGAGACCCGGGCGTGCCTGCTCCG